ACCACTGTCATCAAACACTTCATCTGCTACTCCACCAGTGACTGGGGCATCATGACTACTGGGACTCTGTATAATAATAAATATTAATAATTAACACTTAATAAATAGATAATACCATAACAGTATTCTATTACTAATATGTGACTAATTATTTATCAGTTATACACAAGGTACATGTACATGTACACACATGAGGTGTGCATGTGCTTACTGAAGTAACTGCTTCATACCATTACTTCTTCGTCCCAATACAAGAACCTCTCAACAGCTTCCTCTACTCTTGTCAATAAATCCTATTAATAATAAATCAATAATCTAACAAGAGGAGAGAAAGAGAGAGTGCGAAAGGGAGAGAGAGACAGAGAGAGAGCTTACCCCTGCTGAGTGAATATAGTCAGCAATAGATTGAAGGTTCTGGACACAGAGAGCATCATCTTGTCAAAGGTGCTCCACTGTGTCTCTATCATCTCAGAGGTCTAGCCAGATCACCTGATGATAGTTTAAGGTAAGTATCACAAGGCTCTCCCTCTGCAATGTGACGGAACCAGTGAGACATTGTATCTACTAACAAAAAACATATCATCATTGATAAGCATTCTATTGCTGTAATATCATTAACTGTATTTATTAAAATAGAAGCCAATAAGCTAATTAATACTTAACACGAATAATGCTTGATAAAAATGTAATAATAAATTATGCTTACATATGTAGCTTAAAAATTATTTGTTGGAACTCAGAAACAGCTAAAACTTTCTAAATACAAATGTAGCATAAAGACATCAACATGTATCAAAAAATGTAATAAAAGTGTTTGGTGATTTCAAAGCCATTTTTTAAATCCACGGGCCTTTGCTTTTTAAAAAAATTGGCTGATTTTTAAAAATAGTCATAACTTGAAAATTTTTGTCAGAAACAGCTCAAACCTTCTACAGAACACAATAACATGATTTTTTCTGACTAAAATATCAAAAGCATACAATGATGTGAAGACATTTCAGTGTTCATATCACAAGAATGGGTAAATAAAATTTTAAAACTTTAACAATTACATGTAGGTTTAACACCAACTAGGAGCAAATATTAAACCGAGGGTGAAGCCTGAGGGTTTAAAATGTTGTAATCCTGACTAGAAGGTGTTAAACCGATATAAACAACAAATGCTATTATAGCTGTGCAGCCACATTGTGAACCCACTGCCACGTGTCATAGTGTGTAGGGGCACTACACATTTCATAGAGCAGCAATGGAAGCTTGGACTACTGTTGGGTCAGTTTGGTGCAAGAAGAAGGCTGAAGAAGTGACTGAATGAAGCTAATCTCATGCTGATATGACCCTAGGACCATGGCGCCAAATGTTATGGGCCAAACGCTTGGCCAAACCATGATGATGACACTGGTGATTTGGTGAAGATCACTGTAGTGGGCTATCCACAGTGTAGAAGAGCAAGAGGAAGGTCTTATTCATGGAAGAAGAGCCTGCAAACTTTTCTATAATTGCTAGTATCAGTAATAATGGAAATTTTAACATTTTTAATCAAAATTTGTGAAAACAAACGTGTATGCTTTCTTGGCCCCAGGATTTATACAATTTCAATACCTCATTAAGTCATCAAACATCAAAGAGAATTATTCATGAGTTGTTTATATGAATGAGTAACCCAATAAACTCAATGAATACATGACAAAAACATACACACTGGACACAAACAAGTCTAGCCTAGTAGATACATGCTTAAACTCTTACTACACAAATATACATACAACAAATGAAAGCCTATATTACTGGGGCTTAGATTATTATATGCACATAAATGTATAGCTTATATAAATGTACAT